TTGATGAGATGCATGCGGCGGATCTTGCGAATCGGATGACCAAAGTGGAACAATCATCCGACGTTATACGCGACATTCGCGGTGCCTTTCAGGAGCGCAAAGTTCCGTGGGTGGATATTGATGTGGTGTTCCCTGCGGGAACAATACAGCCTCCCCAGAGGCCAGAGGACGACGGTGTCGACGGAGCTTTGGAGATAGAAGACAACCCCGATCTACAATATGGCCAATATTCTGCTCTCGTCCGAGCTCTCGGGGCACCGATGTTCCTGCCGACATCACGATTGAAACGAGCGCCCTCCCAACCGACCAATCTCAGCAAGTCTAGGCTCTTCACCAGAAGTCAGAAGGAATCTCTCCGTCTGACTATGTGCGAGCTCGTCGACACGGAAGAACGGTATGTGAGCAAGTTATACAATCTTGTGCGCGAGGTAGCCGAAGAATTCCGATTAAAAGCCCAAGGCAGAGGAGCCTCCAGCACCAGTCCAGACGAAGCCTCTCTGGCCGCACTTTTCCCTCCCTGTCTCAATGAGATACTCGACGTCAATCTCGGGTTTTTAGGGGTGATTCGCAATGTCCTGGAAGAAACAGAAAGGGAGGCGATCGCGGATATTGGAGACGACACCGAGCTTCCGTCGTCCATATCGCATAGAACGTCGTCAAGGGAAGGAAAGGACCCGATTGGTGCTGTCGCATTTGCGAATGCGCTTCTCGAATGGTTTCCGCAGTTCTCACAACCCTACGCGGACTATATGCGAGCCCACACAGGCTTTACACAGACTCTCAACTCATTTATGAGGGATAAGAACTCGAGCTTCTCCAAGAGAGTTGTTGAGACTGGAGAGCAACGATTACGTTCGTTACTGATGGAGCCTGTTCAGCGCCTGCCCCGTTACAGCCTTCTGATTGACACCATGACCAGCAGTCTTCCCCTGATCCATCCCGCCGTCAGGCCCCTCCTAAAGGCTCGAGATATTATCAAAGATATATGCTCACTCGACAACCCCTCGTCTACAAATCACGACCAGAGCTTCCGACGATTGAAAGAGCTGGTGGATGGCTGGCCGGCGACAATACTGCCTGTCGGCCGCTTGATCACAGCTGTTGACTTCAACGAGCTGTCGCCTCCATACCACATCGATCCTTCATCTCCAAACCAAAATCAGGGGATCATGTTGATCTATAAGAACTGCCTTGTTCTCTTAGCGAAAGCTCTGGGAAGCAGAACAACTGCACGCGGCTTACTTGCAGATCTCGACGGCGCCGCATCAGGACCCAGTGGCCCCTCTGCCCTGCAAAGCTCAGGTGAGATCAGGGTTGCGCAAGTTTACGACCTGCAAACAGTACGCTCAATGCAGTCTACGTGCGGGAGAATACTTTTCCTCGCCCCTACATCGGCCAAAGCAAGACCGAACCAGAATACTACAGTGGATTTGTTCGCTTTGGAATTAACTGGGATGTATGAGGGACGGGCGAGTCGGCTTATTGAAGAGGTTGTGAAGGCCAAGATTGAAGGCCGGTTTTCTGAGAGCGAGCGGGAGAACGGTAAATGGACCCTGAGGAGCCCCACGGGGACCGTCGGGAACATAGGCATTCTGGCCTGTGTTCTCGAAGAGGAGAAGGATAATGTCTTGGGGCGGAGTGGCCTGTCCAAGATTCGAATCGTCTTTGACACTCCGAGGGCAATTTCCAGCAAGGCATTGAACACTTCCGATCTGGAGGTGATCATCTCGGTTTCCTCTGCCAGTGAGGACCAATATCGGGTCGACGTAGACTCCATTGTCGGGCTTGCCTCCTCAGATATTGTTACAGTGGATAGCTTTGTTCCTGTGCTTTCCAAACGCCGTAAGTTTCTCGTCCTCTTATCACACTGATGGCCTGTAGCATTTCGTTGACGGTGTATAGTCTTGAATGTCCTTCTGCCTCTGCATGGTCCCCGAAACCGGACGATGACGGAATCAATAATTCACTCGAATTTTGATATACTTCGCTACCTTGCCGGCCATCTAATCACTCAATTCAAGGCACCTCGCGGATTTCGTCCTCCTTCGCCTACCAAGCTCCTCTCGAGTCTCCTAGGTGGGGGGCCGTCGAAAGACGCCAAGGACAGTATCACTACAGGTTCGAAAGGCCCCAGTTCTGCAACTCTGCTTGGTGAATTCCCGAAAATGCCACCTCCGAGAGCCAATCTCTCTCGATCCAATACGCTACCTTCGGTATTCCCTGGAAAGGAAGAGACCCCTAGCAAAATCTCCGTGGTTGGGACGACTCCTTCCAAGGGACCAGATAGTCCGTTCAGTTTGTTGGAACAAACATTTGCGGCCTACGCCCTTGCACTTCAGTCTCGCAGCGGCAATATCGTTGGACGAAGTCTGCGTGCGAGGGAAAATGTCGACAGGTCATCAGTCAATGAGTTGTATAATGTACTTTTGGAAGACCCCGGGAAGATTCAAGCTGCAGCCGAGGTGCCTGTTGACACATTATTTGTGGCGTTCGAAACATTCATGACAAACGCATGGAAGGAGCACATGGGCCCGGTGATAGAACCCGGCGCTCTAAAGCTCATTCAGAGTCAATTTGATACCATGTTTCCTCGCGACTTTGAGGAAAATTTCCGCAAATTTCTCGCGGAGATCAGTCCTCAGAACCGGCGTGCGCTGGTATCTCTGGTGCGGCTACTAGCCGAGTTGCTCGATGCGTCTGGGAACGACGGCGATCGAGGTGCCCTGACTGCGGCCTTTGCCGAAATTCTGACAGTCGACGGAGACCCCATGCAGCACATATCTCTTCTAGACCGACTTGTGGACGATTTTGACAATCTCTTCGACGAGTTTATCCCCAGCGGCGCATCGCTGGACGGGATCTTAAGCAGCGACCAGACCAAACCCAGTGCGCGCGACGCAGGGTCTATTAGCTCGAATGCGTCCTCCTTCCGAAAACGTTTCGGCTTCAGCCTGCATCGAGAGGGATCCAAGAATGAGGGAGAGAGCAAGGTCTCGTCAATTCTCAGGACGCTCAGCAAGAGCAAAGCTCCTGGCGACTCGGAACCCAGTACCCCGCGAGGCTCGTTGCTGCGTTCCAAGTCAATCGACGTGGACGCTGGGCTGAGTCACCTCTTACGACCTGGCTCGCGCGACCGTCCCAGTGCGGCCTCATCGCAAGAACACCTTCGACGACCGGGTAGCTCTCAAGGGCAGCCCCCATCTCTATCTTCAATCCGAGGTATCTCAACGAACGGAGTAGTCAAGGTGCGGAGAAGGAGAAGGAGCTCACTGTCCGATCTGAGGCCCGGAACGGCATCCACGGACACGTCTGCTGTCTCGCCTAACCAGGATCCGCGGCCTGCGACTCCTGTATCATCAACCAATCGTTCCGAAACTGAATTGGCGACCCCAACCACACAGCCCAGACCACAAACAAGTCACGGCACAGATTCTACGAACAGAAGCACGTCGCCCACCAAAAGCAACTCCCCTTCCCGATTGACCTCGCCAAGCCGACGATCACCGACACGTCCAGTCACCCCAAGCCGCAAAGAGAACATTGACCCAACTTTGAGTCGAACGGACCGACCTCCAAGAAAGAAAAGTGACCTTACTGCTTCTCCCACTCAAGAACAGAAGAGAAGATTGCGGGCACTCAGCATACCATCATCACGAAATGTTGGGCTCAAGGAGCGCCCAGTGCTGGTTAACGGATCTGACCCCAGACGCCTGCAAACTTTGACCTCTTCGCAAAGAACCCCGAAGCTGCGAATGCAGAGCCCACAAAAGGTATGGTTCCCAGAATTCCCTCTGCTGCTCGGCCGACTATCAGTCGGTCTCTCTGTTCTTCTTCGTCGTCATCATCTGCCGAGAGGATTTTCGACTAACATATCTACAGCTCCGAGATCGTCTCCAAAGCGAGAAGAGACTACAACATTCTGCACAATTGGGGCTCAAAGAGGAATTGGCCTTGATCGGCGAGGAACTGCAAGCTTTGAACGTCGCATCACCGCAGCCGCTAAAGAATGCAGGACAGAATCCTGGGTCGTTAGACGCACCATTCCTGTCGGCAGCTGCTGATCCAGCTCTTCTCAACCATATTGGCAATTTAGAGTCGAAGTTTGAAGTGCTTTCGCAAGAGCTGAATAGCCGCACCTCTGCAATAGAGAGAGATCTGGAATCGTCTCTGGTTGTTAGTGAGAAGCGAGCAAAGAAATTAGATGAGCTGTACCGTGAGGCTAGCGCGGAGAATGAGGCGCTGTATGATCGGTTCAATCTGGAGCTGGGAAAGATTGTGCGGGATGTTCGATCTGGAAGTGTGGAAGAGGCTCTCCGGACACAATTGTCTGAGGCATTGGAGGAGATTGGAAGGCTCAAGAAGGAGAACTTCAGGCTGAAAAGGGAAGTTGGCGGACTACGTGCACAGCAAGCAGCCGTGGCCTTGTTAAAGGCGAGCGAATGAACGATCGAGACACTTATGAGACCTTTTCAATCCCGGCCCAAGGCGCCTCGTGGCTGGCCACTTCCCAAGGCTTTGGCGTCGAGCTATCTTTCCTTCTTCTACTCGGCACAAAATCATTTCTTTTGCAATGGACATGATCTCATGCATCTTATCGGAAAGCGATCATTCTCGGTTCGTATTGTCTCTTTTGGTTCACCATTTCTCTACGCATGGCGTCAAGGCAACCTTGTTGAATGAACCCAGGCGCTGTGCCTACTCCAAAGAATATTATGTTTTTTTTTATGGAGGAACTCCACCTCGATCTTATCTATGAATCCTTCTTCTTGTATCACACATCTCTCGTCAGACCGACAAGGCTTTTCTTTCTAGCGGGCCACCATGTTTCTGCACTTGTTGACTAGTGCTGGTGCACACTGCTTCAGCAACCATCTTTTGACTCAGCTGCTCGGATATGCTTAATGTAGCCTTCCTGTGGTTTTCTGTCACCTGTCCTTCTGACTAGGTTACCCTACCTCAAACGAGACTATGGATGTGTATAGTCCAGATAGCGCAAGATTTCATAACCAACCCATCAATTTCAGAGAATCCTGATCGATCATCTTGTACATCCATTGCCAACGTACGGTCCAAAGCATTGAAGTTTGAAGTAGACTTTGCGCCTGAGAAGCGGAAAGTAACCTGCAAGATAGTGTGGGAAGCGCCAGCGGCACTTGGTGTGCATTGCCACCAGATTTCTTTTGGACAACCAGCACAGGAACGGTGAAGCGAGTTTGCCCCGGAGCTTCGAGCGCCAGGCGCTTCAGCAGCGCTACCACAGCGGGATGCTGATGATTCTTTCCACGACCCTGTCCATCAGTCATCCCCCGAATCACCTGCAAATCAGACTGCCGCAGCGGCCGCACAACCAGAGACAAATCCTCCGCGTCAAAGCACCGACGGACGCCATCGAGCTCGGACTGCATGTAATGCGCACGCATGTCGGGGTCTCGGTCTCGGTCTCGGTCTCGGGCTCCCTTGTCCGGGACCACGGCGGCCCGCACCCAGAACCGATTATCCCACAGTTTCCAGGGCGAGTACATGGTTTCTGACTCTGGGCGGGGGAGTTCGAGGGCTAGTGAGGGGGCGCGGTTGCGCATGTAAGGTTGGCGAGTGAGGAGCCAGGTATTCTCACTCTCATTCTCCTTGTTGAGATGGGGTTTCTGACTGGGAGGAGAGGCGGACGGGGGTTGGGAAGGGCGGAACATGATGCCGCCTAGTGTGAAGGGGAGGCGGTTCGTTGGTGTCGGTGTCGATGTCGGGGGTGGCGAGGGGGAAGAGGAAGGGAATACTCGTGCGGTGAATTGCTCGAAGCTAGGCAGGGGGAAGTGGTTGTCCGGGTGTGGGGAGATGAGCTCTGTGATGCGGCGGAGGGTGAGAGATTGGATCTGGGTTTGGAAGTGGGGGGTGCGGATGCGGGTGGGTAGGTGCGATTGCGATTGCGGTTGCGGGCTGGGGAATCGGATGAGCATTGTCCCGGTGCTTGGGTTGAAGTCCAGGAGGCGGCATTGGGATAGCAGGTTGTTGGAGTGAGCGATGGCGTCTTCGATGAGGGCATGGCTTGATTGGATGAGGGAGAGGATGGAAGGGACCTGTAGGGCGCGCGGGAGGAGTCGCGGGGAAGATGGAGACAGGAGGCTGCGGATGGCGTTGCGCGGGGTGAGGGTTGGATCGAAGTTTGTCGGGTCTGAGACGTAGGGGATGCGGTGTTGGTGGCAGGTTGCGAGAAGGGAGGCCTTGGGGAAGGCCAGGAGGGGCCGGCAGAGGAGGATGCCGCCGGTGGCCATGGGGAAGCCTGGTCGCTTGTCCCCGTCCTCGTCCTGGACTTGCGGTCTGGTCGTGTTCCCGACGAGAGCAGAGGGTGCTCCTGCTCTGTCGTCGCGAGGCCGAGGCCGGAGGAGCGCCGACGAGCCACTCTCCGAGACGCCATAGAGGCCATGACACTCTGGGATTCGGGCGATGGGCGGGATCCCGGCCAGGCCGGCGCCTCGGGCGCCGGAACAAAGTCTCCAGAGGGTCGTCTCAACGTTGTCATCCTGGTGATGGCCCATGAGGAGGGCGCTGATGCGTCTGTCTCGGCAGGCTATGCCGAGGGCCTGGAAGCGCAGACGTCGGGCATGGGTCTCGAACGCGGAGACGTCGGTGCCTTGTGGCCATTCGAGCTCTAGGATTTGTGCTTGTAGGCCTGTGTGGCTGTTAGCCCATCTCTTGTTGGCAGGATCGTGGTCTGGCCTACCGATATCACTCAGCCATGCAGCTACAGTTCGGGCCTCCCGGCTACTCTCCTCTCGGGCTTTGTGGTCTACGACGAAGGCTGTGACAGTCAACCCATCCGCGAGGTTCTGTTCTTGTAATTTTTTGCATAGGAAGGCCAGAGCCATAGAGTCTGCGCCGCCGCTGACAGCCAAGCCTATCAGACAATTAGAACATAACTCGGCGGCCGTGGATGCTCATGCTCAGCGAGGATTCGAACTGACATACCCAGTTTACGAGGGATAAGGCGATTGGCCTGTCGTCCGCCCCAGGAGAGACGCGACTCGCTCCATGCTCGCTGGAAATGCTCCAGGAACTGGGAGGCTGTGATTGCTTTGTGAGGAAGTTGTCTGGAGAGACATGATGCAGCCATTTATCATTCTGGCCAAACTAAGGATGATGTGTGTTGATGCCGATGGAAAAGATGGATGACGGTCAGAGAAAGTTGTGGTGGTTCTTGGCGTCGGCGGACGAAATATATTTGGTCTCTTGCTGAGCACCAAAGACCTCTACACTTTAAACTCATCAGGAATCAGATCAATTCGCTAGATATTTTGTAGTCGCTAATCTCATTGATCGCATACATTGTATTCTACACGTCTGGAGCAGGCCATTTCCACAACAGCCCGCCCAGAATAGGTCACGAAGAGTAGAGACAGATCCCTAACTCCGGGTGTGCAATATGGACACAGGGAATAATATGACAGAGAAGGTTAAAAAAGAAAATCGGAGCACGGCTCTCGGCCTTGATGCCTCATAGTTTTTGATCCTAAACAGCGCGACCAGTCGTAGAGTTCACGAGTTTTGGATAGACACAGAAGCAGATCCCGACGCTGTCAGAGAATGGACACTGCTGGGCTGAGCACTTTCTCCATCTCCGTTGGCCATGCCTGCTGTCTCCGACAGATGTGTGGTGTTGGTTGCATCGGCCGACTGACTGCCTTGGTCGCCTTCTTTGCCTGACCCAGGCATTGGTAACTCCTTCTTTCCATTGGCTCTGTAGTACAGAACCATATCGCCGGATGATCGCCAGATATGAGCGCGGATGGTTGCGAGAGTCATATTGGGTGGTATGAGCTGGTTCGAGTTAGCGAAGCAGTACGAGATTGTTTTGCGTCGATATGTACACACCATCTTCTGGCAGTAGAGTTCCAGATATTCTTCCGGCTTCAGTGCGCCTTCCTGCGGGTCTTCGGAGTATGAAGGGTCGATTCTTTCCGCCACGTAAGCGAGAATCTTCTTCGCACGCAGCATACGGTTGGCATTCAGACGAGAATTGCTGACACCGTTACCATTAGGAACCGGCCTACAGTAGTTATACCGTTAGCAGAGTACAATACAATGACTGAGATTGTACATACAGATCTGGCTTGGATACGGGCGGCAGCAGGTCGTCATAGGGTTTCAGAATAAAGGCGATCTTGACGGGTTCCTTGACAGGCACTTGGTTCTACCCAGAATTAGCCATATCCCGAATCCCGAATAAGTTGAAATCTCACCTTCAAGAGTAGTTCAGCAAGCCACATGGGTATCGACTTCTCAAGCCTGTCAATTTCCTGGCCGATACTACCGACACTGCCTCTGTAAAGGTCCGAGGCCACAGCGGTATCTCCCGATTCCTCCTGAATGAAAACGGCAGTACGAGGAGGGATATCTAGCATTGGGGTCTCGTTATCAGGACTTGGGGCGATGGCTGACACGAGCTCCTGCCCCGGATTCGCCGCGAGGAATTCATCATATTCATGACGAATTCTCTCGATGAAACCGCTCAGATTGCTATCAAAAACTTTCTCTTCTTTGAGTGCCACGGGTTCTTCCGGTTCCTCCACCTTCTCCTCCTGAACCTGAGGCTTGACCTCGGAGGAGGTCCTGCCCAGCTTCTTGGGGAATTCCATCCGGAACTTCTTCCCAAAGATTGATCCCGTTCTCTTCCTCTCCTCTTTATCAGGTTCGACGGGCGATTGAGGCAGTGCGGTTGGAGTAGGATCTCCCGGTGTCGTCGCATCCATCGCATTTGAGCCTTGTGGTCTCGGGGACGAGAAGTAATCGGATTTGTCTGACATGGAATTCCTCACTACGTCGGCTTGAGGCGATGCGAGATGGTCACCGAAATCACCCGGCGACGTGCCAAAGTGATTGTTGTGAGTATTGAGCATGGAAGACGTCAGAAAACCTGGAGTGGTAGCAAGATGGATTCCGAAACCAGGCGTCGTAGGGCTCCCAAACAATTCATTTCCAGGGCGCATGGGCAGAGAAGATGGATCATAAGGGATCTGTATTCCTAGATTCTTTGCATTTGGTGATGGAATGTCCATCGGCGCCGTGACACTCGACATGGTCTGTCTGGCCAACTCTTCAGCCTTTGCAATGGCCGAGGCACGGTACTGGTCATCTCGCTTGATCTCTTCGTCCACCAGGGGAGCAAAAAGCCAACGTAGAACCCATTTTCCAAGATTTACTGTTCCAGGTCAGCCAGATCAAAGACTAGAGAAAAGAGAAATCGAATGCTCGCGGGGTGAGGAAAAGAAGGTCACCCACTTCTCTGATCTTCCCGGATCTGTGAGTAATCAAGAAGGTCGGCCTCGTCCGCGTAGACCTCGGCGTCAAAGCAGCGATTGAGCTCCAGAATGACAGACAATCGACCTGTTCGAATGTCAATCGTGCACCAATGGGCGATGCTCTCAGTAGTATTGATCTCCGACGCGACATCGTCCATATGGCGCTTGCCGAACGATTGTATTGGTTTGCACTGCAAGTGTCAAAAGAAGCCTTGGTCGGGTGGATGGCGAGAGATTACCTTCAAAAGATCCCAAAGAACGACCTCACCGGCGGAATCTTGCGTAAGCGTGCGCTTTCTGTCATTTAGCATGAAATGCTTGATCAGACCATGTTGGCCCTCTATCGTCTCTTCGGGTAACGAGTACACTGGTAGATTGAGACCCAGGTCATCGTCCAAGTCCGGATCGGGTGAATGCTGCGGTCCGTTCGCAGGCAAGCCCTCGAACGTACCTTCCGGTACTCGTGACTTGGGGAATGTCGATGTGCTGGACAACAGTAGAATTGACTCATACGGTATCTTTGTCCGCCGACCCTTCTGGGCCGATGACTCCTCAGACTTGGCTGCGTCAGGGCCTGCGGGGCCCCTTGACGAGGGAGACTCGATCTCTGCAGTGGTATCGATATCGTACCAGCGGTTGATGCTGGACTTGGGGGTGGCAGTCCAGATGTACTCACCGGCAGCGACCACATTGACGACGCCCTCGTGTTCTTGCAAAGCTGCGACACAAATGCCCTGCTCCACGTCCGAGCAGTGCCTTGTATCAGTCTTGGCAACCAAGCCGGAACGGTCGCTCGAATAGAAGACCGACAGCTGTGGATGGCTGGAGTAGAGCGACCAGACGCTATCGTTGTGCATCGTCAAGGTGTGCATGCATCTTCCTGCTGTGAGAGACCAGATCTTAATGGTTTGATCTGAAGAGGCGGTCATGATCCTATCCCCGTCGCGAGTGATCAAGATGTCTCGAATGTTGTCTGTATGCCCCACGAATTTGGTGATCGGCTTTCCAGATTTCGGATCCCAGACTCTGACCACGCTCTCCGGGCCGCCGCTGGCGAGGACCGAAGAGACCGCCCCCAGCGCGTAAACGGACCCCTTGGCCGTGCTCTCGCCTCCGCAAGCATCAATGCTGAGAACCTCGCCGCCACCATTCAGATCCCACAGGGAAAGCTTATGATCGAGTCCTCCAGAGGCCACCCAACTAGAGTGACTTCCGGGCGTCGCAAGGGCCTTGACGTAGTCTGCATGTTTGCCGATGGGTGAGGGCAATTCGGTGGATTCCGAGTGTGGTCGCCAGAGTCTCACGGTGGTATCGGATGAAGCTGAAACGAGGGCCGAATTATTCTGGGTCAAGACGATGTCATTGATCCAATGGCTGTGGGCCTGCACTTGATGTCTGAAGGTAGTTGGTCCTGACTTTTGAGCTCCTAGAGCTGGAGAGGGTTTGGATGTGGAGAGAGGTAGGTTGAGATCCCATGAGCAGATCACTCCATCGCGACCAGCGGAATACCTTGGGAGGACATTAGTCAGCGCATTGTTACTGCAGCGTGCAAATAAATCCAATAACAAATGGACGTTCACCGGAATCATCATATGCAGTAGAGAGGGAGGTGCTCACAGGATAGAGTTGTCTTCATCAACAGTCAAGCTATTAACTCCCAGTCGGTGACCACCCGGCGCATCAGGCAGAGGGAGCACTAAACAGCCGCAGTTAGATAAGACGTGGGGGGCGCAATGGGACAGGTCAGGAGGTGAACAGGTAGGATGAGCAAAAAACTTACCATAAGTGACCCTCTGATGACTTGGTTTCCGTGCCATGCAGCAGGGATACAGAGCGATGCACTAGAAGGATGATGGAAGGCGAGGAGAATTGCGGAGGAGACGGGACTCGATGCGGATTGCGGAGTGGTTAGTGGTGATCCGCCGAACAGCTCGGGGACGATCAGACAAGGAGTGCAGAGAGTGTGGGGTTACTGAGAGTGATGCATTTAAGGTCATAGATGGTGATATTAACAGTGACAAAGAAAGAGTGCAGATTAGATTAATGGATTAAAGTAGGAGAATATGAAGAGCGAAAGAGAGAGAGAGAGAGAGAGAGGAGGGAGGAGAAGAGGAGTAAACTAACTACGGAGAAGGATGAGGAGAGGAGGACAAGGCGGGATAGAAAGAAAGTGTTCTAAATTGTCTCCAAGCATGATAAGTGGACATAATAATATGTCTGTGTGTATATTTTGGAGGTTACTGATAAATAATAGCCTGATCTCACGATGGCCTCTCATGATGGAGGAATGCATGAATGGATAGGACAGACTTGACTACAGCCACATCAGGAACAGAGATATAGCATATAGATAGACTGTCATCAGGGATGTTTCACCACATGTTCGAGTCTATTCAGGACTCAGACTCAGACTCAGACTCAGTCAGTCTCGAGTCTGTGCTAGTGTAACTCTGTTGAACTGTTCAACGGTCAACTGGTTACGCCTCTTTACTTGGCTCTTATTGTTTAAGCGCCTCGCGGACACTCTGATCTCCAAGTGACACCATCAGCTTGCATCTTAGCCTTCGCTGCCTTCCTGTATTCTAGTCTATTAAGCACTCCGTAGTATCTATTGAGCATCATTAAATCAATAATATTAAATATAAATTAGCTCTTGGGACCGCGTTTTGGTTCCAACTCTTAGAACTCGGAACCCGATTCGATACGGTTAGATAGGGGGCGGTCAGTCGATATATCTAGGGAGGCGGTAGACCCCTATACTGCCTAAAATTTCACCTGTTTTGAGGTTACTCTTTGTTGTGGGCGAGTAAAATCTATCCTGAAAGTCGGTGTATATAGATGGCGTCAGGATACGGTAAGAGTAAGAGTCGATCTCAATCCCCAAGTCCAAGTACAACTCAGTCAATACAAAAGGACGGAAGAGGAGACTCATGATTTGTAAGGAAACGCACTCCCTCATCACGTTCTTCCTCAAAGCACTTGAAGCATACGGGCTGACAGCCGAAGACCCCAATACTATGGGCCTGTCCCTGCTGAGAGAGAATACTCACCGCGGCCAAACGAGCGGCCCAGTTACCATGGGCTCGAAAGATGCCCACCCCTTCCGGAACATCGAGGAGCTCATCCCAAGAATCGATAGAGAAATAGTCATAGTTTGAGTCGTGAGTGTTGCGTTCATGCTTGTCACACACATTTGCGACGCGCGGCAGCTCTTCAAAATCGATGCACATAATGTCCAGATCGGCGACCCATCTGCCTCGGTCAAGGACGGAGATGACTGATTCCACCACCATCACTTCCTGGTCAATTGTCCTCTCATCGCCCGGATTGAGCGGGAATTTCCAGTCTGTGAATGAGAGGTGCAGAGAGGTACCAGTGAAGTTGTTCTCGCGCTGAAAGTCATACGGAGCATGAGCGACCACGTTGAAGGCGTCGCTGGGCTCTCGAATCTTGGGTTCCTGCGGCGCGACCAAGAGGGTAAGACCTGGGTGCCCGATATTGCCCAGGATCCGCCGAATATCATGCGAGGCAGGCGGATCGAATGGATCCGAGAGGACAACGGCGGCCACGAAGATGGAGTCTTCCGAGCACAGCGCGAGAGCGGTGCCAATGTCTTCAGGGTTGAGATCTATCAGACCCGTTTCAAATCGGGCAATGCAGGAGAATGCATTGGCGCGGTCCAAATGAGGAAGCGAGGCCGGAAGAAAGTTAGCAGCCGTGCATTGGATCAGGGCGACGGGGGACTCGGAGATGGTCAGTGGAAACCACAACGGGTCGGGGAGCCAGGATGCCTCATAGAGGGGCTGTGATAAGATCTTGAGAGAAACTGTTGCGTCACCCAGATTCTCATACACTTCGGCAGCCATGCTGAACCCATGGAGGGAGTTGCGGAAATTGATGGGCAGGAGAGAATATTCTCTCACCATGAACATGCCCGGGGCCCTTCTCCTATATACTGAATCTTCCTTTGCCCATGACCACCGATCGTTGGACTTGGGGAGTTCCTTTGCGGCGATCAAGGAAAGATAATCAGCCAGCATGCAAGGGTCTATATTTGCCTTTCCGAATTCCTGTATCCCACTGGCCGGACTCAGCAGTCCCATTGCCGCTGAGACAGCTCTGTCATGGAGTTCCATATAGCGCTGCTTCGGACCTGATTCTTTGACATAGAGTCCTAGTCTCCAGTCGCCGTAAATTAGGATGTATTTAGTCCATGGCCCGCTGGCGCAAGTCTCTCCACCACCAGGACTGCATTCGCCCAAGGAATTGGCAGTTGCCGCTGACGGATCGAAGACTGCAAAATTTGGAACCTCGATGCTAGTGTCGATCTTCTTCTGGCAGATGGGCTGGCTGGTCGTTATTACGGAGCAGTTTTCGCCCAGTTCAATACACTTGGACATCAAGCTCTCCAGGTCGATTGGCTCGTTACTGAACCCTTGTTTGTGCGATCTATGACCTCGTTAACAAAAAGAGAGGGTTAAAGACAGAGAACAGACAGAATATCCATCTACCTTTTCACAAAAAGTCTGGAGTGGCGCTGCTCTGAAGAGAGAAAGTGACCGTCCAGGTCCCTTTTCCTATTTTTTGCGGGATGAGCCACCGCGGTGGCAATCTCCCAATGCTGGACCATGCTAGGATCGGTGCGTTGAGACGCTCCAAGCGCGTAGCATATCACCGCATCTTCTGGTCTGAATCTCAACTCCACCGCGAGTTGTCGCAGATACGCTATCGCGCAATCCCGATCGTTGTGCTGTGACAGAGCCGCCAGTGTCCGGGGATTGCAGATTCCGAAGTAGGGAATCAGGACTTGGGAACGATCCAACAGGAAGGATTTGGCTCTTCGGTGACCATACTGGACGAGCTGCATAGTGGTCTGTTTCACCAGCCCTCCACAGTGAAGCAGGTCCTGGGCGGCGTCAACGAGATGTTTGAGCCATTGAAACCGACTGCGAACGTCCGAGTCCAATTTCCCAAGGACAGACCAGATATCTAGGAGCCACTGGGCGACTACGTCAAACTCACGAGTGCTCACCTTCCACTCGCAACACAGACTCCCAAGGAGCACCAGTCTGAATTGACGAAAGGTGACGCGGGTGAAGTCCCGCTTACTGCGAGCCACAACTGGATCTCCGTAGTATTTCAGATGGGAAAGAGCCAGAGACCATTTCAGGCCCCCCTCAAGGTTCGGGTCCGATGCCTCTTCGCTGTTGATAGTTCCCGTCCCTCCTGGGGGGAAGAGTTGGTCGCGAAATTTCACATGCGTTGCCTTGTTTCCTAGCACGATCAAATCTGGAAATAGATGCCACGAGGAGAAAGCCACGAGGAGGGATCCATTGGAAATCATGATGGGTGTGCCGCACAACAGCGCCTCCAGGCCTAGCATGGTTTGCTGCCAGGTGTTGAGCACACTGGCATATGTTGAGGTATTTGCGGGCACGGGGAGGGTCAGATTTCTCTGGATCAGGTTTAATTGCGCAAACTCGAATTGCTTGGCTCGATCTGCACTGCGCAGCCAGGACCTGGCACTATTGTCCCATCGGGCCAGGTCGTCGCGCGAGATTTCCTGACGCGCCGCGAAGAGAGTGGCTGCGGCCACAATCTTGTTCTCTGCATATGCCTGTTGGATCTCCTGTTTCCTCTGCTTGATCAGTTCGACCCAGATGGCAGTGGCCTGTTTTGCGTCCCAGGCGCGGGCCAGCAGGCACGACAACAGGTAGACACCAATTGATGCGACTCCTGATGTCGCAGCCGCCCAGAGCGTGGTCCCATCAGCCCCTACATAGGGCTCAAATGGCCCGTGGATCCCTGAACCAGAAGGGCTGATTCCGGGAGTTTGGACCACCTGGGAGACCCTGGTGCCAAATGACTCGATCAGCCTCGGAGAGTCTGGTATGAGATCCTCAAATAGAGCACCTAGCCGGCGCGCGGTTCGATGAGGCTGGCCTTCTTCGGCGTCGTGTCGACGACGTCGGGATAGAGCTGAGCCCAATGGTCCAAACTCTTTGGGTGCCTCGAACTTCAGAAGCGTAAAATCGAAATTGATCGCAGCTAGCTGGATATTATTTTCATTTGTCGCGGAGAATATCGAGTTTGTTAATTTGCCTAGTGCTGACATGACTGTTTGCTCTAGGTGTCAATAAGAGCTAGGAATAAGGATAATCATGAAGAAGTCTGCTTTTTATTCTTGTTCACATATTGTTTGTCAGAGAACTGCAAATATATACCTTGATTGGATGTTCAGCCTTGCCATGCCCCTGTACAGGTGAAAACAAGGCTGAATATCATCTATGTATCTAGAATCTGCAGGCTCTCATTCGCTTACTAGATATCAGGCAACACATAGATATAGTATGATAAGGCTATGTATCAGTCAGTAAATCGCTTCATTTCTAAAACATCCGCAACACATTGTGATACTTTTCCTCCTCATTGAAGTCTGTCAGAGCTGTAAGCACTATTAAATTAATAACTTAGCTCGATGACATTGTTTATTTATTATTCTTCATCGAATTCCACCATATCCTCTCCCTATCCTCTACATTGATATAGGCAAGTCTACAGTCACCCTGATATCATCCTGATGGCGCTGTGCACTTCTATAAATAAACAACACCTATATAGTCCTTTGGCTAACACACACACAAAAAGAAAAGCAAAGAAAAAACAATGGATATCCCCATCACATCCATCAAACCAATCTACCACCCATCTCCCCCCCAATCCATCCAAACAACCCTCCAAACCCTCCATCTCCAACCTCACCCGGAAGGAGGCTACTACACCGAAACAGACCGGCACCCGCTGCGTATCCCCAATCCTCACAACAAAGACCCAAGCGACACCAACACCAACACCCGCTCCCTCTCCTCAACAATCTACTACCATCTCACCCCAAACTCCCCAACGAGCTTCCTCCACCTGAACCGCAGCCGCACAATACACAGTCTCCACCGCGGACGGGCGCGGTACGTCATTATCCACGCGGACTTGGCGACGCAGGCTCGGGCGGAACATGGTGGCACGGCGCCGGTTACTTCGTTTGTGGTCGGTCCGGACCTAGAGAAGGGGGAGAGGATGCAGTGGGTTGTGGAGGGGGGCAAGTATAAAGGTTGTTATCTGTTACCTGATTCGCCCTCGGAGAATGGAGATGGGGGGAGCGAGGGGTTGTTGATTACGGAGGTAAGTGAAGCGTCCCATACCCTTGGATCAGAAAGAATGAGTTTGAGATGTCTATATTGACGTGCCAGACTGTTGTCCCTGGGTTTGAATTCGAGGATCACGAGTTTATGAGTCCCCAGACGATGGAGAGGCTCCTCACGGAGGACCAATGCCGAGCGCTGGGCTGGATGTTGAAGAAGGATGGATGACCGACTGTACATATACATTGCCATATACACCTTTGGTAGATATACATTCTATTCCGATTCCCTCTTCCGCTCCAGGGTATTCCACGCCCACTGGTAACTTCCCAGAAACACCGCCCCCCCAATGCCAATCCACGCCACTCGCGGCCCAATCCCGCGCCAGAACGCTCCAAACCCTTCCCCCGAGATCTCCTGCACGATATCCCTGATGCGCACGCGCGCGGCCCCCTCGCCCCGACGCGCCAGCATCACCCGCGTCTTAATGACATCGAGCGGCGTCGTCAGACCCGCCGCAATCGCCCCAGCAACGCTCCCAAACATCGCGCTCGTCGACGCAGGAACCTGGCTCACCACACCCGACTCCGCCGACGGCACCAGCACGCGCTTGGCATACGCCTCCTTCATCGACTCCCACATGGTAAACTGCAGCATGGTGAAGGGGATCTCCCGCGCAATCGTGATGCCCGCCCCGCGGTACAGCTCCCGGACGACCTGCCCGTACCCGCGCTTCGCATTCCCCGTCGGGTCCGGGTGCCGCAGCGCCAGGATGTCCTTGAGCGCGACCAGACTCGACCCGCCGAAGAGACCGGCCTGTGCCCGCTGCTTGACCACTTCCGTGGGCACCCGCACGGCGCATGCGGCGATCTCGCCCATCGAGGAGGCGAGCGAGTGTGTGAGGAGGATGTGGGAGCGGGAGGCCGCGTCGGAGCCGGAGGGAGGGAGGAGAGAGCGCTTGACGCCGTCGTAGACGATGAAGAAGGATGCGGCGGAGGGGGCGGAGCCGAAAAGGACCGACGGGAGACCCGCGTAGATGCCGCGGATGGTTTGTCTGAGCGACAGGGTGGGCGCTGGCGTGCTCGGAGCATGGTGTCTTGCTTTCTGCAGACGGGTTTTGATTGTGTCGAGGGGATACAGCGAGCAATCGACTGTGAGGCCGGCTACTGCTCCGGACTAGAAGCGCGGGAAAGGGAAGAGGTTAACACTGCCACCGGAAAGGAGGAGGAATCGACAGATAACGTTGGGGAAACACGGATAGAGAAGCAACTGAGCTTACAATCAGGGATCTCGTCCAAAGGGAGACCAATGGCTCTGCTTCTGGTTGCTGGGCCATGGTAGAAAGGAAGCTTGAGGTTGCAGTTTTTGAGTCACGTTCTACCTTAACATGTCGGACCGAGGAGGAGGTGTTGTGCAATTATCTAAACAGTCTATTCGAAAGGTTCGTGTAAGTCGCTAATTGAGGATAACAATTGAAAACAAATTCGTGAAAGGTTGTAATGCTGCAGGAAGCAGAACCTGAGAATGTGAGTGTCAAATGAAGCTCAAGATTTCGACCATCTCCGATAATCGCCAACTGTGGGAGCCGGCATAAAGTCCGCTATCTCCGCCAACTACGTCAACAGATCAAACTCCCATTCAATTGAAGAGTTCATGAACAGCCCTTACATTTGGTATTTGTTGTTGATTCATAATATCTACTTAGCCACTTTGTCTCAGGGAATGCACAATTAGAGACAGGTAATATAAACAGAATGACAGGATCCCTGGCAAAAACCAGACACACTCTAACAGCCCCTTCACACCTCCAGTTTGACGACGACAATCAAAGAGAACAATGAAAGACAAACTCTAACGAATAAAAATCTATCGCGAGAGTCGAAAAGTTGCTTCAACAGTCCACCCCTCGAAGAAGAAACCACAACGCCTGGAAAACATAATCACTGAGCCCTCTTTTCCAACGCTGAGATCAACGATACAATGATACATAGAACGGATGAGACTGGCGAGGGGGTAAGAAGTGTGATAAGCTCGCTCGCACAGTCGCGTATTTCAGAGAGGAAGGACGGCGGCAAGGGGAGACAAAGGATGAATTGGGGCCACCCGGCAGCATAGCGAAGTGAAAGCAATATAATTTCTGACGGGAAGCCCTAGGGAATCGTAGAAGTAAAGGCGGATGAAGTGAAGAAAAGGAGAAAAGATGGATGCTGGTAAAGACGGATCGTATCCAAAAATTCGAGGGCAATCATTTTCATCTGTAAGACCAGAAACATTTTGTTAGGGACCAAGCGAAACAGGAGGCCTATTTAGCCTTGTTATTGGGCTTGCTGTTGGCTTTGCTCGGGACTGGCTGCGAAGGCGAAGGGGGTTCCAGGACATGGGTATGGTTGCAAGCTTTGATAACCTCGCCCGTGACCTCCTGCCGGCAAGCTTGGATGTTTCGAACCCACTCATCGGTCAAGACATCTTCGAGAGTGGCCCGCTCCTTCACGTTCACTTTGAGCATGCGGCCGATGATATACCGGCTTTCGCGCGGCAAGATACGCAGGAGCCTCCAAGGACCCTTGATGACCTCCTGACGTTGACTCGATGACTGCGCTGAAGCTGGGAGAGGCGGCGCTTCCTTGCTCGTTGTTCGGGTCGGTTTGCTGAGGTTGTTGTTGGCCTTGTCTTTAGGGCTCTCAGGAGGGCGGTTCTCGTCACTGGTCGAGGAGGTAGGTTGGGCTTGTTTCTTTTCCGAGTCCGATTGTGCCGAAGGCTCACTCGATCCGTTCTTCTCCTCCGCAGGTTGCGCTGGTTTGCCCTCGTTGGCAACCGACGACAGGTCTGGAGCCGATTTGATGGCGCGGTGACGCTTCGGATCAGCATCCGGGACAGGGGTTCCTGGTGTCGGTGTTGAGACAAAGAGCCTATAGGAGTTATCGCTGACACGGGGTTGCTTCCACGGAAATCGGCGCAGTGTCATGCAGCAGAAGATAATAGCCAACGACCATATATCTGTGGGACGCGGGTCATACTTCTTTTCGTCGTACACCTCTGGTGCCAAGTAGGGATCGGATCCAACAATACCTGGGGAACAAACACAGGTTAGCTACGCTGGCTCAAGGAGAGACTCGCATTGATTGAACTCACCAGAAGCAGGAACAATGTCATTCTCGAAGGGATATCGGAAGACAACCGCGCTGCCGAAATCGATGAGTTTCATGATGCCGTGCTCATTGACAACCACGTTATCCAACTTCAAATCCCGATGGGCCAGTCCCATGCCGTGCAGGTAGGCCACACCACTGAGGATTTGCTTGAAAGAGCATGCGATTTCGTCCTTCGACATTTTCCCGGTCATGACGATCGCAAACAAGTCAAAGGGCGCGTATTCCATGACCTCGTACCAGTGATTTCCCTCCTGGATGATATCGAGCGTCTCGATGATGTTTCCATGGTGCAGAGTTGATCCGATGCAGAACTCGGCTGTCACCTTCTTGGAATATTCCTTCATCGTCTCCCAGGAATGACGGTCTCTGAATTGTTTCACAGCAAAAGTCACTCCATCACTGTTACGCTTCAATAACCGAACCGAACCGCCCGCTCCGGAGCCCAGCACTTTCCCGAGCTTTCCGTATTTGGAGTTGAGCCCGTGGTCATCGGCGAAAGGTACGTTTTCTGAGGGCGTGCTCTTTCCAGAAGAGCGGCTCGACCGCTTCGGGAGCGACGTGGGAGAATCGCCTCGCTTATGTTTGTGGTGACCCATCTTGAAGAATCGCTTGAGCTCCGCCATATGGCCATGGTGTTTCCCTTCACCACTGTCGTTCTGTCGTAAATCTTTCTTGCTGCCGAAGAGACCGCTCCGCTTGTCGCTAGATTTCAAATCGCCAGCACTGGCAGAGCGGGGGGTTCCGGGGCGACCGAAAGTTGACGAGGTTTGGCTTCGGCGTTTGGAGTCACGGCCTCCGAAGATAAATCTTTGATCGATCTGGGCAAGATTCTTAGCCGGAGGTGGCCGCTTGCTGCGAGCATACGGGTCGTTCGGCTCTCCCACAGGTGTAATGGCGCCTGGCGGGGTATAGTCTCGTGGGGTCATCGGCGGACTCTCCTCCTGCGAGCTTGGTTCAGCTCCGGGACCGAGAAAGAATTGCGCCCGATGCTTCGGCCCGTTCAAGGGATGAGATGAAGTTTTCGAGACATCGATCTGCTTGGACAGTTGGTCGGTTGAAGAGGGCCGAGATGAGGGCGCGCTCTGCGGCACCCCTTTTCTCTCAGCCACTACTGGAGGGGACGTCTGCGGAGTCATGGCCGCAGCAGCGGTTCTATTCGTTGCATTGGTGGTAGAGGAAACGTCATGATGTGTGGCTTCACGCGAATTAGTAGCTGCAGGTGTAAGAGGAGGCGATTGCATCGGAGAAGCACGGGGAGACGGCAAGATGGAACCATTAGGTTCCCGGGCACTGCGATCGCTTGATTCTCGAGACGCGACCTGTGAAGTGACGCAGTGTTAGTCTCTATCGACTGCTAGACTGTGCAGAGCGGTGCTATAATAACGCGAAAGCCAACATCGACCGATCGCATTCCACATACCCTTGACGAAGGAAGAGAGACGGGATCGTAAGAAAAGTTGCGCAACCGGGTCTCCTGCAATTGAGAGCTTTGGAGGCTCTCCGCTAGTCTTCGTAACTCATCGTTCTCCTTTGGAGGCACAGCAGATTCCGGTTGGGGTGATTGCGGGGCGTTTGACGATTCGGGCGGCTCGATTTCTTCGGTGATGGTGGAAAACCGAACCTGACCCGGCTGTGCCTTGGTCATATATTCGCTGTTGGACGAACCCGAGGCCTGGCCAGCTGCCATCGAGGTGTGCTCCTGAGTTGGCTGAGATGCTAATATGGGAAGTCGACTACATTAGAAAAGCGAGTTGCAAGCGAAAAAGGTAGAGCATTGCCTACTGGAATCCATGTTTTTCGCTGTACCGGCAAATTCGGTCGCTCCAGACGTCATACGGACTCGTCAAAACCACGCTGTGGAACGCATGCCCCTCCGCAGTTGCGATCCTGTTGGTTTAAACTTTGAAACGACAAATCCCTGTCGTTCAGATTGTAATTCCTGCACAAGCAGCGACTGTAAACTGTACCTGCGGGGTCAATCTGAACAGGACGTAGAAGGCTGGATAACGTGGGAATGGTAAGGAGTGAGGGCGGGGGGACGACGGAGCAAAACTTTGGCGAAGACCGATTGTTACT